CTCTCCCTTGTGAGAGTGAAATTAATCTTAACATCAAACTTGGAATTAAGGTGGTGTAAGAAATCTTTGACTCAGGGTTTTTCTTAGTGGGACTTTTTGAGACTTCCAAGTCTAGAACTCTGTCAATTTGCCTAAATCACAATTCGCAAAAATAATAAAATCCCCTTTTTTTCCGAAAAAATGCCGAATATAAAATTGTCTGAGCGAGCAAATCTCGCTATGGAAGATAGCCCCTTATTTGGGTAAATTGGGTGTTTGGCTGCGAATTTATGACTATTCAGCATCCTATTCAGAGAAGGACAATTCTAACACCTTCTAAGCCTGGGCTCAATTTCAAATTCAGCACTACAGAAGACCCAAAAGCAAATGAAAAAAGAAGACGAAAATCTGCGCGAAAGCTGCGTTTCAGACCAATGCAAATCAGAAGCACTATTTTTTTTAAACAGAAAAAATAGCAAGTCTGCATTATCGATTGCAAAAAAGGAGGATCACCTGCTATGTGGCCTTAGCGCCGTTTCGATCATGGTGGCATCAGATATATAGGCCGCAGCAGCAACATGAAGTCGTGGATCGTCGCCTGAACAGCTTACGTAAAAAAAAAGAAACACATCCTAATATGGTTACTCGCGATCAAAACAAACTATACAAGAAAAAAACCTTTAGCAACAACTGGGTGGTATGGTATGGTGTTATATTCATGTAGTACATAGGTGGTATATATAGGCTGTCTCAATGACAGTGTCACAGCGCCTCAGCCTCGGCTCCTCGCGACCGCCTCGCTTGAGCCCTTCGACGCATTCGCGGAAATATATTCTAGGCAATCTTTCACTACCAAGCGATTAAAAAGCGGGAAAATGCCTAGAGAGTACATACGCGCCGCAACGCGATACCCGAGTGAGGAAGCCGAAAGCCGAGCCGCTATAGGTGACAATGTCATTGAGACAGCCTGTGTACAAACAGCTAACAGCCATAGTCTTACCACTTAAAATCAAAACCGAAAGTGAGCGGAAGAAATAAATCTCCTACTTACCTATGTTCTCATTAGCTCTGATCCATACATACGATCGGAAGCTGTCCTTTTCTAGCTCCATGTTTCTCTGTTTCGGTGGGGACAAAAAGTTGTTGAAATTCACCGGTCGGAACTGAAATTTATCCTTTTCTTGATAAACATGAAACGCACAATAACTACCGTAAAGATTCTGAAGAACGCTGGAGGAATTTCCTTGCGCTTGAAGCGTATGATAGCTGCAGCAGCTGGATGAAGTTCAGGGTCCTAAGCGATTGGTTTGGTAAATTAACAAGAAAAGAGTCAAACTGTAAAAATACGGGGTAATCATCTTGATCTAACCTTTTGTGCTCGTTCCATGAGCTCATTCCAATCTAGTAAACCATCCGGCCCAGGAACCTTTGGCATCTCGACTTGATGCTTGATTGAGTCCGGCTCGGGCTAAATCATGAAATATCGAAGCCAGAAATATTTCTTATGCAAATTTACCTTATGGAAAGA